TGATGGGATTTTTCATAGTTATTAGTTTTATGTTTCCTGTCGGGAATACTGTTCGATATATAACTTCGGAGAAGGAAAACCAATTAAAAGAAGCAATGATAATCATGGGTGTGCCTTGTTGGCTGCATTGGATTGGTTGGTTCATACGCACAATGATTTTTATGATCATAGCAATATCAATATGTGTTGCCGTAATAAAGGTAACATTTCTTCGTTTTATCAAAAATCTTCAGGAAATAATAACAGAAAAGCTGTCATTGTATAGGTACATTTGGACGTGAGTTGGACTTTGCTCTGGATCTTTTTATTTGTGTACAGCATTTCAATGACAACTTATTGCTTTTTGTTGAGTTCATTGTTTTCGAAAGCTAGCATAGCATCTATTGGAGCTATGGTTGGATGGTTCGCTTTACTAGTACCATATGCTTTTTTGATAGACTCAAGCGAATCAGAAAAATTCGTTGCGTGTATTTCATCAAATATAGCGTTGGTAAAGGGGATGGAGCTAGTCTACGTATTCGAACGCAAAAACGGGATACAATGGTCAAATGTTTGGGAAACACTTCCTGAAACCGGAAATTTTTCGTTGGGAATTGTCGCGTGTTTCTTGCTGGGATCGTCGCTTCTTTATTTATTATTAGCACTATATATAGAGAAAGTACTGCCCGAGAAGTATGGTGTGCCCGCGAAATGGTATTTTCCATTCACGAAAGAGTTTTGGTGCGGAGTGCATTCTAATATTGAAAGTGAAGATGGTCTTGTTTCATCGAATCCAAATTTCGAAAGTAATCCGCAACATTTTTCGGTTGGAATAAAAATTAAAAATTTACGCAAAATCTACGCAAATAAAAACGTGGCTGTTAATGGATTAACATTAAATGTATTCGACGATCAAATTACAATATTACTCGGAGCAAATGGTGCCGGAAAAACTACAGGTATGATTGCGTGCAGTGCTTGTAAATATTTATTAGAAACATATGTAACGATTGAACACATTCGCAAAATTGTAATTGTAGTTATGTCAATGTTAACCGGTTGGTTGGCACCTACATCCGGTTCGGCCCTCCTTAATGGCTACGATATTCGAACAAACCTTCAAAAAGCCCGCAGTTCAATTGGATATTGTCCCCAAGTATAATGTTGTGTATGTATTTATTTTTATTTTATATTTTAGTATGTCTCTCTTTTTTCAGCATAATATTTTGTTCGATGAACTAACTGTACGCGAACACATCGAATTCTTCGGACGACTGAAAGGTTTAAAGAAAACGGACATTAATCGTGAAGTGAATAAATATATTCAGCAATTGGAAATGTACAAATTCATCGATAAAACATCTCAGTCGCTGTCGGGTGGTATGAAAAGAAAATTATCGGTCGTGATTGCGCTTTGCGGTGGGTCGAATGTTGTATTTTTGGATGAGCCTTCTTCTGGTGAGATATTTCTTCAAATGAAATCGGTTTTGGAACAGTTTTTACCAATTCATTTAACTCTAGGTCTAGATCCGACCGCTCGACATGGTCTTTGGAATTTACTGCAAGCTGAAAAAAAGGGACGAACCATCCTGTTGACAACACATTTCATGGACGAAGCAGATGCTCTCGGTGACCGAATAGCGATTATGGCCAAAGGAGAACTTAAATGTCATGGAACACCCTTTTTCCTGAAGGCGCGCTTTGGAAGCGGATACCGCTTGATATGTGCAAAAAATGATGAATGCAATGTTAATGCTGTGACCGACACTTTGCGTGAATTTATTCCCGATATTCATGTGCATGAAGATATCGGAAGTGAATTTACTTATGTTTTACCCGCTGAACATGTTGATAAATTTCAACATATATTCGAACTACTAGAACGAAATCAACATGATTTGGGAATCAGTAGTTTTGGAGTTTCGATGACGCCACTGGAAGAGATTTTCTTGAAAGTTTCGTCAGATGGAAGACTTTCGGATAAAGCCCAACCTCAGCAAAACGGTTTTGACACAACAGATTTTGAAGAGCCATCTTCAACTCCATTGTTAATTGGTTTAAGTTTTCACTTGAATCAATGGCATGCAATGTTTAAAAAACGATTCATTTGTTGTAAACGTCGATGGATCATGCTTGTGTTTCAGAATTTAATACCACCCTTTACAGTTCTTCTTATGGTATTTGCACTTGAAGATTTGGGATATTTCGAAAATGTTGAGGTGGTTATATTGTATTCGCTGGCATTTGTTGCTACATCCAAATTTTATATTATGTTCCATATTCGAGAAAGGGCAACGAAATCAAAATTATTACAATTCGTCTGTGGTGTAAATGTTTACACATATTGGATGTCATCATTTTTATTTGATTACATTCTTTATCTACTTATGGCAGTTATTTCAATCGTTCCATTTCTTGTATATGAAATGCAAAATTGGATTGATATAACTGGGGTTATTGTGGCTGTTGCTGCTTTTGGATTTTCGATATTGCCGATAATCTATGTGGCCTCATTTTTATTCACATCCCCAAGTGCTGGACTTAATGCGATGGCTATAATTCCAATAATGCTGAGTGAGTAAATTAATTCACAACATATGAAAACAGCTTTGAATAAAAAAATGTAATCATCTTATTTGTTTCTCCAGATTTTATTTTAAGAGTCATACCAACACAAATGCCAGAAACCGAAGATGAGAAAAAACTTCAGTGGTATTTTCTAATTTTTCCATCATATTCATTTGTTGACAGTTGCATAAAATGTGTCCGCCACGAAGAAAACGCGAAAAGCAACGCTTTCAGCTGGGATTATGATAAAAATGGTATTTTGCGAAATTTAACGTACCTGGTTATAGTTGGTGTTGTGTCCTTTGGAATTCTTGCCGCAATCGAACTTTCAAAATCTTTTGAGATACTGAAGAACAAAACACAATCACTGAATATAAATGATATTGACGACGATGTGCTTAAGGAGAAACAAAATGTCGATGCAATGACCAAGGCTGAATTGCGGGTGACTAATTTAGTTCTACGGAAGCTGACAAAAAATTATAGTGGATTTGTGGCAGTGAATAAAATGTCGATTGCTGTCAAAAGGTAAAATTATTAGAATTGCTTTCGTTTTCATGATACCTTAATTTAAATTTTATTGAATGTTTTATTTCAAATAAAACAGGGCTGAATGTTTCGGTCTACTTGGTGTTAATGGAGCTGGTAAAACGTCCACATTTAAAATGCTAACGGGTGACATAGCCATCTCCAGTGGCGAAGCATATGTACAAGGCATATGTTTGAAGTGTAACATGTTGAAAGTGAACAAGATTATCGGTTATTGTCCACAATTCGATGCTTTACTCAATGATTTAACCGGCATGGAAACGATGGAGATTTTTGCACTACTACGTGGTGTTCGTCGCAATGATATCCCCAGTGTAATTGAACGTCTTGCGAACGAACTTGATTTCAAAGCTCATCTCAACAAAAAGATTTCAGAATATTCGGGCGGCAATAAAAGAAAAGTTAGCACTGCCATTGCATTGATTGGCGATCCAGTTGTTATTTATTTGGGTAAAGAAAAAACAACAATACCAAAAATAAAATCATATTCAAAGCAAATCTCTCTCTCTAATTGCAGACGAACCGAGTTCTGCCATGGATGCGGGTGCCAAACGTCTTTTATGGCAGTGTTTATCGAAGGTTAGAAGTTCTGGTAAATCAATAGTATTAACATCACATAGTATGGAAGAATGTGAGGCTCTTTGCACCCGCTTGGCCATCATGGTTAACGGTGAACTCAAATGTCTTGGATCAACGCAACACTTGAAAAATAAATTCTCCAAAGGTTTTTGGCTTACAATAAAAATGATGAATACAGACGAGTAAGTCCATTTTCGTACTTCAACATTTTTACTATTTTCTTATGCCAAATTATCTTTAATAGCGTTCACTCGGAATCAACGACAGAATTTCATGCATCTCAAATAAAGGAGTTTGTAATTCAAAATGTTACAGAAGCTGAATTGAGGTAAGAGTTTTCAATAAATTATATTTTTTGAACTGATTATTTTTGAAATTCATTATATTGCAGAGAGGAGTATAATGGATTTTTGAAGTATTACATCCCGCCATCCGACTTGAAGTGGTCGTCAATGTTTGGTATCATGGAAATAGCTAAACAAACTCTGCCAATTGAAGACTATTCAATCA